TAATTAACAAAAGCCATGTCGAGACTTCACGCTGGATGACCAAAGCAAACGCCTACCCTATTTTATGAACCTCGGCTTATCGATTATCCCTATGTGGTCTCATGTCGATGTTGCCATAGATGCATTTCACCTCTTACTGTTGAACCTGTTGACACACACTGTGTACCTTCCAGACAACCCCAAACACCACAGATTTGAATCCTCTTTCCGTCCCAGGAGCACGCACATACATATTCCTTCCACCCCCACTGTTTGACTAAGCCAACCCACTTCAAAAAAGCCTAGCCCATCGCGCTCCCCTTCATACATTGCATAGCGAACTAATGACTTGAGGGTTAGCGGACTAATAAAAGTAACCTCGTAGTTTGATCATGGACTCTGTACGGTGTAATCTTTTATGTGCAGTGTAAATAACTTTTGCCTTGTAAAGACGGTTGTTTTAAAAGTGAATGGGTATTGTCAAAGTATGTAATTATTATATCTGATTCCTATTTAAATGGTACTCTAGTTGGCGTCTGGGGATTCTTTGTTGGTTACATCGGGAGTATTTACGCGTCACTCGAATCCCAGGCAAATTTGCCGTCTATAACTACTACAATACAATTTTTGTTGCGTAGAAAGCGTATTTCCTAGCTAATACACGCCGCTTCATTTATATCAATGAGTATCAAAAACATAATCAACGCACTAAGGCTGTTATATATCAAGAGAAATGCAGTAAGAACGGTTAGTTGTACATTGTTATTTTTATTTGTTTCTCTTTGAAATCAGCTGGAGATAGATAACTCTATTTGTCAATCTAATTATTAACACAGTTAACATATGACATTGTTTTATTGACAAAGCCGTATACATTGCTTTGGATATTTTTATGTTTGTCTCCCTTTTGGAATCTTAGTGTTAAGTACTTACTACGTACCTTTTTAGTACGCTTTTTCTATATCATGCTTACCAAAAATATGGGCAATAAGCTTTAACTTTTGTTTGTAACTGTTTAAGCTCATCTAATCTAGTCATCATGAAGATTTCATTTAAGCTTAAATGATGAGTGCTCTGATAACTGCTTAGTGCTTGAGGTACCGGCTGACATCACAACTTTTAGAATCAAGCCGAAGTTCTGCTGTGTCTACCTGACAAGTGCAAACGTGTACAAAGCCTATTCTGAAGTTCGGTTTTGTAAGGGTACATCATTCGTTACTTAACAATTGCAAATGCGGCTTTATTGCCCAAGTTGATAATAGCTCAGTTTGAAGTGACTTGCGATCTTGATTGGGACAGCTTATTGCGATTTGTCTGACCAATTTTTTTTCCAAAATGCCCTCTTTAATAGGTCTCTTACTTTCCCAAATGGTACAAACGCCTTTGTAGAAAAAGACCATAAAGATGGCGCCCTTGTGCTAAGTGTATGATTTTTAATCACAGTGTTACAATAAGTTATGGTATAGAACGTATTGCACAACACTGTCTCATAAGGTGTGTAGCTTTGTAGATCAAAACTATTCTGGCTGTTTGCATGGGTATTATGAGGCCGGTAATAGTCCACGAGCAATGCCCGTGTAACACTGCTCTATCAGCTTTTGTTTGAGAAAACGTTATGTCGCGTTTGTTGGACGTATACATAAAAAAACCGTTTGATTTCATTGAGTAACGAACCCCGACAGAATGCCAAACATCTACGGCTTTCCTTTTGTATTAATTTTCACTGGCCAAAAATACTCTTTTATGTCATTTCTTAACGAAGCTGACACGAAGTTCTAAACAAACATTTGTATGTCGCCTTTCTGGATGTAGACCTTGGCAAAGACTAATCTAGGGATTTGGGCCCTGTTCAATTTGGATCAATGGCAACGTCAGTGATGCTGTTTTATTTTACTGCATACCTTTGATTCTAGCTAATGCTGTTTAACAATGCTAGATTAAATAGAAATTCTTTACAAATAGGCTCAGTGCGATAGCCATTAGAAGCACAGAAAAGCGCTGTATGTTTCTTTCATTTTTTCGGGAATTGTTAGCAGTGCACACTCAATCTCAACTATGTGGCTCGATCCCACCTATGTTTATATCCATGAATCTGCTTTAATGCTTTTGGTGTTTTACCATTCTTCTAAGCGTTTCCTGCACGTTTGAGAAAAGTGATCATGACACCAGGTGCCATCAATCTTCTAGCTTGCGTTGGTATTTGACTAAATGAACGTAGCTAAACCAAAAAGGAGAAACCAATATGTTCGTAGTCAAAACTTGTTGGTTTAAAGCAACTTTTGCACGTTATAACACGTGCTGCTTGTTTGGCCTATCATTAATTATAACCGTAGTACTACAAGTACCATGATAATCGCTTATGGGATCATTACCGTTGTGAACCTAATAGACTAAAACCCATATAAGCATCAGCATCAACACGTTAGTTGAGGGTGAGAAACAAACCTCAGCTAATATGTCGCAATACAAAAGATAAACTACAAAAATCATCACACCGCAAAGGATTCAAAAGGCAGGTAAGATAATAATAAATATTATATTATGTTTTTTGTACGAGAGCGTAATTTTAAGAAGAATCCAAAAGAGAGAATGATGAACCAAAAAGCGCATAACACAAAGGCCGGCTCTTTGCCTCTACAGCAATCGTGTCTAGCCAAACTTGTTCATCGTCCTTGGGACCCACCGCAGCCAGGCAGTGGAGATAAACCAGCAGACGCCAATGTCGAAGTGAGGATTTTCAATCCTCCCGACCAATTCACTATTTGGCCTCCCATCCTCCTCTTTCAACCTCTCTCCTGGCGCACAAACAACACACGTCGCGGGAGTCGGGATGCTGACAAGCAAAACACGTGGTCCAGCTATCGGAGCCCGGTGTGTTATATAATGGTTCTGAGCGGTTCACTCGCTCTTTCTGCACCAAATACTCGAAGCCGAACACATTCATAGCTCACGCGGTGCTCCCACCAGACATAAGGTAACCTGCAATGGTAGCCATAATCAAACGTGAATAGCTTCTGTGTGTCTGTCGATCTGATGGGCCAGGTTTCTCAACGGTATAAGAGGGCTGAACGGACGGCTACATTGTAAACTCTGCATTTCAAGACTAGAGCGCTATCGCGTTAACGCCACAGGTAATAAAGTTTGTCAAAAGCGCTTCGAGCTTTTGCTATACGAGTTGTGAAATCATTTCTGTTCCCACGGGCTTTAATATTTCTGTCCAGGTATTTGCATTCCTGAAGGAATTCTACTTGATCATTACCAAGTGTCAGGGCGGGGGTAAGTCTCTGCCAATCTTGGAGAAATACTTTACGTTTTGATGGGGTGAGACAGCCTAAAACAATGGACAGCCAAGGTTAATCGGTTTAGCGCTGCTTGCCGCGTTTGGGCACTCTCACACATGAGAGAAATGCACTCCGCATACTGTAAATCAGGAAGTCGCTCACCAAAATGTATCTCCAGATACTGTAGATCGTGTCCAGGGAACGCTACTTTCACGACTTTGTTAACGACGAAGTTACAGAAGAAAGTTGAAAGCAGGCGACCTGGTCTCCCACCGCTGGAGCTATTGAATGGCGGCGACCGTTTGCTATAAACCATCACTCAGCCCAAACTATTTGCGTACAGCGCACTGATAACATTTACACACCTATCGAGCGCACGTTTTCTCAGCAGGCAATCCTAAAGTGCACACCGATCAACCAATCAGAAGATACTATTTCTGTCGAGAAAAAAGAACGGTGGGTTGCAAACAACCATGGCGCTGCTATAAAAATTAACTCAAAGTAAAAATGTGGTTGATGTAGCGTCGATCTCGATGAAACTCGGCTTGCTGCTAAGGAAATTGGCTTTTACAAATGCCAGTCAGTCTACGGAGAACGACATATGCAAGCAGTTTAGAGGCAGTTGAGATCAGACTAATTTCTTTATGATTGATGCATTCCAAACGGGAACTTCCCTTGAAAACTGGGATTATAACCAAGCGGCTGCAGTCTGTTGAAACACAGTTTGCTGTCCCCAAAGTTTCATCAGTAACTCGTGTAAATTATCTGTAAGAGCAGACCACCAGAAGTTGAATAAAGCTAGGAAATCCTATTTGCTCGTGGGGTCTTATTCCATTTGAACAGTCTAATTTTACGCTCGACTCCTGCGCATGAGAGCGGATCCAAGGAGATGGCGCAGGGGGAAGGGCACTCAGATTGGTTAAACATCCTTGTAAAGTGTTCGGTTCAACGCTCCATGCATTTTGACAAGCTGTGGATCGGTGCTCCACTCTCATCGCTTGGACTTTGCATTAATTTACAAAGCCCATGAAATTTTTCTGCGATAGCTGCTTAAAACCAACAATATTTTATCTCATTTCCGTAACCCCTGCATGAGTAAAATTACTAGCAGATTACCTGTTTTCATTTCAATATTAGCATTTAGGCCACTTAAAGATTTGCATCGTTTGACATTAATCATTTGATCGTTTGACATTAATGCTTTTAAAAACAACTTCCAAACGCTTTCACCTCAATAGAATTCTTTTGGAGCCACTTTTAGCTTGCTTATCTACTGTTTTATGTTTGCTTCGTCTTTTTCCAAGTTACACATATTGATAAGTATGTAGTAAGAGATTAGCCATTCAGGTTTCAGGCACTTAGTCGAACATGCGCAAATTTACCCTCTTTTATCTGCTAGATGGTCATTTATATGACCAACCAAGTTATCATGATTAAATAAGCTAAAAATTAAATTTACCTGAAGTCATACTGCCTGAATGTCGCATGCTGGGAAAAGCAAACTTTATTTCGTGACACTTGGCGGTCGCTTAAATGTTTTTTAAGTCATTAGGTGAATAAAAGCTAAAAAGGCTTAAGGATAGATGAGTTGTTTAAACATTGTGCTATAAGGGAGAAAAATTAACCGTCAAGTCCGAGGAATATTGTTATAATACCGAATAGGCAGTATGTGGTATAGATTACATCAATCAGGTGCTTCCTAAAATGCGTATTGGAAATTTGCTGTCCTTCTGATTTTAGCTCACTGTCAAACGAAGAATCAAAAACGCAATAATTTTCAAAACCAAACCATCGGAAAAGTCAACGGCAACATTGGATATTAAGAAGCACAAGGTAGCAAACCGCAGTTTAGAACGTTTGCACAATATTGTCTTGATGTAGAACTTACGCTCTTTGTATGTGCAGCAATTGATTTGTTATTTTTCCTTTATATTTTTTAGCATCAAGGGCTTAAAATTGGTTGACCAATTATGGTATGCTAGTTTTTATGCTGTCTGAGGTTTCTGGAACTTACTCACTAAGCTAATACCTGCCGACACTTTTGGGCACTGTAGCAGTTTTCCTGAAATAGAGGAATATAAAAAGGGATTTTCGCGTTTGGTACTGTATCAAGACTTAGCACTATCATTTACAGTATTATAGTATATCTGGCAGCATTTGATTCCAAAGTTGCCTGCCAGTGCAGCCTCCAGTCGACAGCCACAGGACGCTTGCGCACACTTAGGGACCATTGATAGATTTTGCTGCACCACCCACAGCTTTATCCACACACCGCATATCCAACGTAAATGCGAAGCAATAAGGCTGGGACGTATGCGTATGGGCGCCACGTTTCATCAACGCAACCGGCCCACACACCTTCAGCATGAACGGCGGCAACATTCCAGTCAGTCCAGTTGGGAAATGCTGTGTACCAGACGTGCACCAGGCGGTGGCCGAGTTATGGCCCGTTTTACACTGGAAACATGGAACCACTCATTGAGGCTAGCACGGTCACGAGAACCGGGCACCCCGGCCCTCCGAACAACCTTTAACAGTCCCCCGGAGCCGATGTATAACGATGTGTTGGGTACTAAACAGGTAGGCACCTTGTCAGCCTTTTCATCAACCGTAACTACGCCGCGGATATCAATCAACAGCCAACATCTGAAATGCAAGCAGCTCAACTCGCAGGCATGCACATAGTTCAACTGCATCCATGATGCAGCTTACGTAGCACATCGACCACGTCATCGGCCCGGGCCGGTAAATGAAATAGAATGCAAAATAGCGTACTTGCCAAGCGGAGGGGTAGACGTACGCGCCGTACATTCAGCCCGCATGCGACTGATGGTGTTTCGCACAGCAGCGAAGTGCCCTTACGCAGCACAGCTGACACAATACTTTTATTTATTACTTGCCAAGTACTATGCTTTTGATGATCACATATTCAGCTGACTCATCTTCTTTCAAAAGTTGGCTCCATGTGGTCACGCTGGGACTTGCCAGCCTGGCTTGGCTCAAACACTCGCGACCGCATGTGCTACAGTAGATAGGCTTGACTACATCGGCGCCTGTCACTTCCGTACACGGTGTTTATTTTCCGCATGCACCATTGCTTTCTCACACACCTGGTCAACCGCCCTGTTAATATACTCTAGTTATCGGCACCGGTACATTGCGTTTGATTCCCAACACACTAAATGGATATTAATTCGTGATAAACTCAGCACATCATAATCTGGTAACATAACTACGGTTTTCCCACTTGTCGTTTTCCTGCAACCAGTTGACCATAAAACAGCTGTTTTGATATCCGGTTGAATCCATGCGGCGATTATGCCCGAGCCACCTCAACTGACACAATAGAAGTATGCAGTCCACTGCATACATGCCGATGTGTCGTTGCACCACCGTAACCAAAACTCGGTCAACCCAGCCGATGCACAGTATACGACGCAGGCATTGTTGATGGAAGCGATCCAGATAATAGACACTTCCGATAAAGCGTCCAGATTGTGCCGCCGTATGAAAGAACGCACAGCTCCCTAGACTTGTAAACCAGCAGCTTCGTCCCGACAGTGAGCTGTTGGTTGCTCCACCCACGCTTTTACAGCTTGCCAAAAGCGGCAGCCACTTTCGATCCGCGCATGCACAGCTCGCTCGTTATCTGCAGGTCGGTAGACATTGCGCCTCCCAGGTACCAAACCTTTGCAGTGGCTTCCAAAACGTCGTTCTCAATGCGGATTTGCGGCAGCCCACGGATTCCGCTTCTGGAGAAAGCTGCGAGAAACGAACAGTCATGCCTGTGTTGATGGTTGGCCAGAACGGGATCGCTCTCGGAACAATAATCGAAGTCATGTGCAGCCACTCATCCACTTGGCATGTAAACAACACACAGTCGTCGGCAAACAGCAACATACGGTTGGTGGTCTCATAGACTATGGTCATCGCACCGAAACAACGAATGATCAGCGACCCATGCACTCAAGCACGACAATTTTCCTCAGCATTAGAAGTACAAGTGGTCACTGCACGAACGGGTTAATATACAGCTTTGTTGCACACCAGATACAAGAGCCAATTCACCCAAAATTTGCGCACAGAACTGCAACCTCGCCCGCATAAAGCTCTGCAGACATTTGGATAAACATGAAAACTTACTCAGACAATCAAACTTACACAACACCAGCCACGTTGCGTCGTGCTTCACTGTGTAAAATGCTTTGGTGAAGTCAACAAACAGTGAGTACAATGGCTATTGTTGCTCTCGGCAATTATCCTGTAAATGGAGAGTCGCGAACACCAAACATATAGTGCTACGACCCTAACAGGATCTGAAGTGCTCTTCGGCCACATTCAGTTCAACCACTTGAGTGACGAGACAGTTGAGCAGGATTCCGGCGATCACCTTCACCACGCAACCCAGCAAGTTGATAAAACCATAATGCATGGCATATTGCTTGATTACTTTGACCTTTACAGTGGTAGCGGCCCTCAAGTCAGCCGGGGCTTTCGCTTCAAACTACAAGCGTTGCACCAAGCAGTGCAGCTCACTAATCAAAGAGGCTCAGCCGTTTTCTAACACGTCAAGCAGTATTCCGTCCAATCCGGTGCACTTGCCGTTTCGCAGCTGAGCATGTGCTCTTTGTGTCTCGTTTAATGTCAGTGTGTCGTCAATAGTTATTTTCATATCTTGCTGTTGCAGTCCGTGCAACATAGACCAGTCAGTCTCTGAACAGTTGTTCAAGGGACAGTCTAAGTTTGTTCGCTAGATGTGCATTATTACTGCAGTCTGTTTTTTGCAGCACCAAGAATAATATCCACTAGCGTCCTCATCGGCTACAACGTGGGCATATACACCCCCTTAGAGGAACCAAAGAATTCCTTGTGTTGGTGGCATTCGGCATAGTACACCATCTGTTTCGCCTTCTCCATCGTTGTGCATTTATGATGTGACAGAGCTCTGAAGCCAATTGCAGTCGAAAATTATGGAACTGATTCTCCTCTGCATCGGCAGGGCCATCCGCATACCTAGCGAGAGATGCATATTTCCCCAATATCAATGCACTAGTGGTCGCACTGTTGTCATCGAACCAATCGGACTGCTTACATTTTGCGCACCCGATAGTTGGCTCGACCGCAGCCGTCACTCGTTTACGGATGTGGTGCCGCAATTCTCTGGTTGGGGCGATGGATTCGACATCGCCAATGCGGGTAGCCATCGCATTACCTAGCTCATTCCTGTTCTCAATAATACCTATGGAATGCACCGGTTTACGTCAGCTGGGTAATGCGTAGATTTACAAAAATATATGTACAATTTAGTCCGCGTCAACTTGCGATAGGTGCTACGTTCAGCTCCACGTAGTAGATTTCTCATGCTCAATTCACGCATGTCACACTGGCGAACGATGGCATGGTGGAGCAGGTATCCGAGACCACTTCGTGGGTGCGTCCAAGTAGTTACATCACTCACATCCAGTGTAAATTGTGTGTGCATGATCGTCAGGGCGTGAGTAACGCACAGTGGGAGCGGCCGGTTGTTTTTTCCATTGGCTGTGACAATACCATAAGAAACAGATTAAGTTTGTCCACACCGCTGCATCACTCCCAACGAGCGCGTTGCAACCACACAATAAGAATAGCCGTTCGTTCCTCGGCACAGACCGTATCACGGGAAATAACTGAGAGTAAAACTGATCCCTCGAGTTTGCACATACTGTAGGACCATAGGTGCTAATAAAATTGGCAAACTTATCTCTTCCATGTCGCCGACGATTTGTCATCGATCGTGGGCTGATGCCAGTCAATTCTACCACTAGCTGGCCAGTTAAACGGTCGGATTGTACAGGTCCGACCCAATGTTCACGTGGTGCTGTGGTGACGTTCCCCACAGTTAAACCTGTAACCCGCACCAGACTCATGCAGCTTGCTTTGGTCAGCAACCTGAGTCTCACCAAGTGCTGCAATATTGATCCCGTTGCGCGCGAGTACCATCGCGACCAGTGCCGTGCGTCGCTCGGGGCGCGCACTCATGTGCCGGTCGAGCAGTGTGCCCACATTCCAGCACCTGATGTTGGACGTTTTGCGCGGAGACAAACGATTACGGTGGCAGGCAATCTCAAGCGTGGTTACCTTGATTAAAAAAGGAGGGGTTTATGTGCACTGCGAAGGAGGAGAGTATATACCGGGAAAGAAATAAGAAGGGAGACGTCGGCGGTTGCATATTTTTTGCAGCAGATAAGACCATCCTTTTCGTAATGCCGCTGCACGACAGCCGATTCAGCGTGGAATTACTATTATTGGCGTGATTCCTAGTTGGCGTTGGACTAGGATACTATCAGGGCGTCCACGCCTGACAGACGAACAAGCTGGGTCATAAACCAAAGCCTTTGATAAATTGTACACCCGAAAGGCAGCGGGCCGTGCGCCATGAGTCAGTGAACCGCTTTCCGCGGGCTGGTGTGTTCGCTCTTATTCAGAAGCAACGTGTAATCCAACTTCCACCCAGCAGTTGTCACGAGGCGATCTCTAGAACACGAGTCCACGGACGGCACAACAATGGCATCAGCGGGTCGATGACCTGTCAGGATCCATCCACCACAAGCCTCAGCTTACCATAGACTCTCCCGCTGGACTTATGGTATATAACACTGCTAAAATACACTGTTCAAGCTATAAGCTTGGTCTGTAACGCTGCCACTGGCTAGTTTGCTCATAACCCAAGTAAATTTGCATATTAAAGTACAGTAGTAAAATAGAACTGAAGCGGAATCATCCACGAAACCTTGTGGTGAACCTGAATCATTCACGCATTCAATATTTTGAGATATTGGATTTTATCATTGTCGTTTATACCTTTCAACCGTTCATAGGTTTAACTGATTGTACTTACCAATCGCTTGCAACTGTGGTTAGTTCCGTTGCATACTGCTGTCTGTTTCTGCATACCTGTTCTGCTACTTTTTACTATTATCAATACACGTTTGGTCCAGACGATCTAACTGTTCTCCCTACCACCGTACTCGGCACACCTCTTACATGCCAGCTTTTGCGCTTAGCATATGAGTAGCAAAGGAAATCGGTGCTCTGGGGGCCAGCCCTGTCCTCTTCAAATTATAGCATGCAAGACAGTGGAGGATGAGCCGTGCCATATCGCGGTTAGATATCAGTCATTGCGGTCCGGTGCCTTCGCCCATGGTTCAGTGACATAAGTCGCTGACTCGCAAGTGTAAGGTCGTGGGTTCGAATCCGACAGGATTCGGTGGATGTGCGCTGCTGGTAAGTCCCAATAGAACGAAACGGCCGTCTGGCGCTTTCCTGGATGTGTGCTGACTGTCTGCCTGTGTGTAACTGCGACGAATCTACACAAAAACCCAACAACCTATTTCTAATGATTTGCTTTTGTGACATTGGCTTCATATACCTTATAGTTGCGCTTGCTCAATGAGCTCATATGCCCACGGACAAGGTATCGTAACTAAACAGTATATAACATAAAAGCAGCATAGGTATCAATAAAATGGTGCCAGACCACGCTTAGTTCCCAGCTTCTTAATTGTAAATGAGTGTACCGCATTGCCAGTCAACAATGCGCTTTATGCACGCATGCACAGTGGATAGTAAGCTATAACACGCACGCTAAGGGCACAAATAAAATTAACTAACAATATAACAAATGTTTATGGTGCATCAACACTGTGAGTAGGTGATAGTGGTGGTGTCATTCATTCCGTCTGGCAATCTTAGTTGACGACAACTTGCTTGAACAATGCCTGAGTTTTCATGGCATTAGAGTGAAATTATGCTTGAAGTCTGAAATTTATAGTATGAATACTTGGAATCTGGTGGCCAAATTAACACTACTCTTAAGTAGGCACTTACTGTGTGAACTAGACAAGACTAATGTCCTCTGGCACCCTATCGTTGCAATTATCCCCAATGATATCCGTAGCCCTTGAAGTTTAACCAATCTAACGCCAGAATATACATCCAGTTTGAAATAATACATATCTTTAATCCCCATTCGTATTGCCTATGCTTCACGGAAACAATCGCTGTTCTTGCGCTTGTTGAATTGACTGGTTACGGGTCTACCTAACATTCAGTCCTGTAGTTTGGCAATGCTGTCAATTGGAAGGTTATGTTGTTCTGCTTAACGTAACACATGTCACAATATTTTTTATGTTGCAGTTATCAGAATGCCAGCTGTTGGAGACGGGAGGGCTGGTATGGAAACATTGGTAAGGATTTTTCAAAGTAAACGTGTAATCACACTATGCTTATGCAATATTACGGATGTTTCCATGTTTTACGTTCTTAACACTAGATTTACTTATTTGTTTCCAATCCAGCAGTCATTTTTAGTCAATGGCTTGAGAGTTACAATTTTACCTGGCCCACAGCATTCGAGAAAGGTGTGGTGCTTTATCCAAGGTCCTTAGCACAGTAGCACGAAATTGTAGATTGTACCTAGCCACATATTGAGTATATCGAAAAATAGACCAAAAGATCCTATTTCCATCCCGCTTTCCAAACTCCTAAATTGTCCAAAAGACAATTCATGTTAATCTACCACCACTTTGGGAAGTAATCATCTTCTCCTCTCTCACTTGCTACTTTGGCCCTCGAAATTACTTTGGTCGAAATTCTCGACCCATTTAGATATATCACGGCTTACAACGAGCCGCAGTAAATTGTGTGGAAGCTGGACTTCAGTGTTGCATATACCAACGCTCAAACAAAAATGTCGTAGAGTGAGGTTTATCTCATCGGTTAGCATCTTTTGCCGGGTAACTCTTTGGGTTGGGCAGTTCAGTTCTAAACATTTCCCTACCAGTTACGTTGACATTATCAGTGTATAATTATTGATGGCTTTGTTGAGAGCTCTAGTAGCAGGTAAATCCAGTTTCGAGCAGGTAGTATGTTCATTAAAGTATGTTTAACAATTGTCCCTAAGTGCCAAGGCAGCTCTAGGTGAGCTTTACCCAAATGCAAGCTAACTACCATGTCAAATGATCAACCATCTTGATTACTGATTTGTGCCGATCGCTAATCGTTACTGGAAAGACAACTGTGACTCTGATATGCCAAAGAGGTTATCTACTTAATGGACGACATTTATAGGTAGCTCTGCTACGTCAGGTACGCGTGTTCGCCAACATTTTAATTGATGTTTCGCGTGCGGCAACCATATAGACCAGCTTCAAACCATTAATGGTGCTACGCCGCATAAATACTGGTTCTATTTATTCTTTTTTAAACTGCGTAGAGTTGAATGATGCGCCCATAGTTCATCTGTAAGCACAGACATCCTGTGTTTCTTGCGGTCGCAGGACAAGCTAGTACACAAAATGATGCAGCCGACTAAGTGGCTGGTTTAAGACGTTATTCGCAGTCGTGTTGTTTATCCGAAACGTTTAGGCAAGGAGGCAAGGAACGAACGGTAAGGTAACTTATTTTTAAATTTAATTTTAGAAAGCAACAAATTACTTATCATATGAACGCTGCAGTATAGTACGCAACGTGTATGAGGCAGAGTTTGCAGAGTTTATTGTAATTAAACAATTTCTGGGATGTCCAGCACATATTCATCTACGGCAACTTTGCATTATTTACACCTGGAAGACTGTGTTTTATCAAAGTTATCTTGGGGCACAAACAGCTGCTTTCTGGGATAGAAACACTTCACTTAATATCGACCGGTTTTTCAATACTGTAGGTAGTCTCATGGTGTCAACCTGGAAAGCGAAGGAGTAGCTAACGCCAACCAACTATGCGATTATTGACAGTATTGATTTCATCACGAATTCGACCGACTTTTTCGCGTCCTTTCGTTTAAATACGATAGGGAATCCGCGGTACGTAATTTGTGGTGTTTGATTTGCAATCTCTACCCCACAGGTTTGTATCCTCGCCCTGCATAGATTTGTGCACTCCCGCATAATTCCGATCTGCGTATTTCTGTTGCCAAGTGAAGAATCATCGGTACAAATTGCTGCTGTATTACTGAGTCCGTTATCAAACAGGTTCCATATCATCTTGCTCCATAGGGTTATTTACTTTAGTCCAATAAATTAACTATGCTTTTTGTATTGAAGTCCCGTCACCTCAGCTCTCTGGGTTCATGTTGTCGCAGAGTAAACATTAAGCATGGGATGCCAAGGTGTGGGAATCATAAAATGGGCAACTTAAAGAAATAAGGAATTATTGAAGCGGTCACATGGACAGGTTAACAACCAAAAAGTGGATCACTTTACAAACACCACCTGCTTTGTAGTCAGGTTTTCGGACTTACGTTGCCGCCGATCCCGACGTCTCTGTCCAGGAAGATGAAGCGCACTTACCAACTTGAGTCATTCGTTCAGTTTTTAACCGTACAGTTGATTACTATTTGTAAGCCAACAGACAATGTGATTAGACACAGGCAGTCGACGACCGTGTACTATATCCAGTCCTGTTGGAGAAGACTGTTGAAGTTCAGCAGACTCACTAGTGCGCATCCAGGAAACTTGTCGTCAGAACCAAGTACCAGGCTTTAACACCACTTAAAAGTGGACTTGATAACGTGAGAAATTCGTTGCATGCACGAAGGTCAAGCACAGTTAACATCGCATATCCCCAAAAACATTACCATGTTTTGTTTTTCACATTACCACCGAAAGCACTAATTGTTTGTATACGGCAAAGCTTTCACAGCATTTTACGTCCACACGCTCTCATGAGCTGCAGGTGCCTCATACTGTATACTGCTGTTTGTAGTACGTTGTTCGGTGATTCAACAGCCAGGCACGACCGCATGAATGAGCATATTGTTCTAGAATATCAAGCGCACTAGGCCCAACATTTACTCGGCCCTGGAATTTGGATGGCGTAGTTCCAACGCGCGGGACATGAACACAGCTCAAGGCCAGGCAGGTGGATTCGGTCAATCGATAACCGTTCGTCCAATCGGGAACATGTAATGAGTGCAGACTCACGCGTGATGAGCAGACGGCCATTGGAGGGATGGTGAGGCCAACGTAACACACGTCGGTCCATTTTGTCGGGTAATTTTTCGGTTACTGAATGCCAGCGGTGGATTAGCCCAGTAAGTACTTTTGTGTTGCATCTTGACAGTTCAAGTTGAACACAGACACTTGCAGCACATTGAGTGAGTCTGTTCTATAGGTAATTGCACCTGTATACAGCAGCACATCGGTCAATTCATATCTACCAAATACTCTAAGCTATTCACTTAGTAGACTAAATTGGCCTATATTGTAAAAGTTCATACCACGTTAAATTACGTGGTTGATAATAATCGGAGAGTTTAGAAAGTCTCCTTTTCCTGTTTTGAGTAAGTCGAAATAGATGTTACAATATCTACGGGTATCCGTAAATCACACTTTTCATTGCACTCGGTGCTACTCGGTCTACTTGTTTCAAACCACCTTTCTTCAAAAAATATACGAAACATGTGTTTAGTTAGATAGATTCCTTCGTTCTAATGCATAACATGACTTTGGCATATGAGACATGATTTTGTCAAACAATTACGCATTCGATATTCCTTTGAAAAGTAAAATGAAAAGTCTATCAGCTGATTCGACCCGCAAACTTTGATGCAAACGTGCGCTTTAAACAACACTATTGGCGGTCGATGTGTTCGTTGGGCTCGGTAATTTTGCCGCAAACGTTTCGTCACCACCTGAGTCAGTGTTCTGTTGTGTAGCGCAGCGGAGCGATCTGAAACAAAGGTGTGTTTTCATCGAGCAGTTGTTTGAGACTGACCATCTGATTGGACAAGTCTTAACGAAACGTATGCTGCAAAACTGTTGAGAGCAAACAACACTAACGACCAGCAACTGAACAACGTGGGCTTGTACTATTTACATTTATCTCACGCCACTGTTAACAGTTGTACTTTATCTACGGTTTTTATTGTGAGGTACTCTTTCTTAGTCTTATCACAGATGGTTGCCGAACAATGAACATCTTGAAAACCGTAAATGGACAGATTTTCATGTTGAGGGAAACCGCGGATTAGCACTGCTACAAGAAGTGTCACACGGTAGTGGCAACAATCGTCTGTCAACAGTTCCACAAGAGACCTGCACAGCACTTCCAAAATGTGCAACAAGAAAGGTAGCTTTTTGTTTTAACTTAAACAAATACATGCAAAGTCAGTTGAACTTGATATTACTTTAACAGCTAACAGTTGTTTGGTTAAGTAAGCTATATGACTGCATAAATTCAATACGCTCATCTGCTTACCACTTGAACATTAGATATGGTAGAACTGCAAGCAATGATGAAGAGAAAGCCTTGGAGAGTGAGGGCAGTACCAGATGGATCCTGATTCCACTTGTGTTGTTAAGAGCAAGCCATTATTCTTCACCTTTCCCGCAACTCCCAGTGTCTTTTTTTACAAACTACAATAATTTTTCGCTCCGATTGGCCCCTGGTTATCAGAGCAAAGTAAGGTACACATGGAACAAGTTCAAGTTCAAGTGGGACCGGAACAGTTGGAAAATCATGTGAATGTTCCACCTTCGAAAACCTCTTTGATCCAACAGGGAATCCGGTGCATTGACATGTCAAGGAAGAAACAAATCTACACACACAATTCACATGGTCAACCAAACAATGCCCACGTACCCTGCACTAGCAGTCCCCGCTATGCCCTCCACGCGAAAAATAAAAGAAAGCGAAAGGAGACAGTGGTGAAGACAACGTTATCGAATTTCGTGGGCAATATTAAGATGTAACTTAAAATGAGGTAAAGAAGCGTAGGCCTTAATAGACGAGTAAAACCTTAAGGCATGAAGAAGAAGACTTTAGTCATCATCATCATTATACACGTTAGCTAAGGTGTAACACACTTCAGCTACTGTGCCGCAATACGTAAAAAAAGAAAAGATGTACAATAGTTGCATGCCAGCTGAGCTGCCAGCAACGGATGGGCATCGTTCTGGAAACCTACCAGGTGGCTGCTAGGCAAAGAGAAAATTATGTTATAAAATTATATTATGTCACGAAATGAGATCATGATTGGAAGGGGGGCTTGAAAGGGATGGGGAGGGACAAAGAAACTCACAGCAGGAACGCCAATGAGGTCGGGTCTTGGCCATGTCAGCAAGTGTATCTAGCCAAACGTGTTCACCGTCTTTTGGGCCCCTACCAGGGAACCGTGAAGCTCCAACCGAGGCCAACTCCGAAATAGGGCCTTCATACCCCTCGACCAAGTCATCGTTTGGGCAGCTCTCTTCTTCATCTTCCATCTACACCCTCGACGCACAAACAGCGTAAGTTGTGGAAGTCGTTGGCTGGCATACGCAACACGTGGCCGAGCCATCAGAGCCTGGTGCATTAAATGACCGTGTTGAGCGGTTCAGTTCCTTTTCCTGTGCCATAAACAAGGAAGACTGCAGACCGAGAGTGTCAATTCGGTACTCGAACTCTTACCCCCTCGGTGCCATCACGACGTCTGCAGGCAGTGTGTTCCAATAAGCTATGACCCTACGCGATAACGGGAAGCTGCCCAAACCCAGTCAGACCGGGGTTTGTGCAACTTTAATGGGTGACCACAAAGGGCTGACGCTCGAGTTGGGCGTAACAGTCCAGTCAAATCAGGACCAATCTGGCCCATCGGTCTATGATATGTGAGGGCCAAGTCGCGCCGAAGCCGCCTGTAATACATGAAAAACATATCCGATTTATGTAGCCTCTCCGAGTACCTCAACTTCTTTTTCCATTCACCATTTTTGTTCCCGGACCGCAAGACCCGTTCAACTACCATCTTATCACCAACCAGGCATAGAGGACAAGCCTGAACGCAGTATTCCAAATGCGGCCTAACAAAAGCCGAAAATCGTCCAACGAACATTTCCGTAGTCATGATCCCGAATAACCTGCAGACCATCCACAACACAATCGCAAAATACTCTGTTCACTGAGATGGTCAGAAGCCTAGACAACAGACAGAACAGTGTCTTATAAATTTCAGGCACGACCGAGACCGTAGTCCCTAGGTATTAATTCATGAGGACGCTTGTCAAGTTGTGGTGTGCACCTCATTGTTCGTTAACAGCTAGTGTTGCTTCAGTTGTCAACTTAAACGAGTGCACCTGTAGATTGTGCGGCATAACAACAGTCACCACATCGAAACCGACCATTTCCTCTTTTAGTTACTGCTTTGGTCTCACTGGTTCAAGGCTCTAAAGTAAAAGCAACTAAGACAGTCATCGGACCTTGCCGTTTTTAATTTTCCTTGGCTAGGTTCCGCCATGGTTTGAACTTTTCTTGTTATCGATCATATAACAGTGTGCTTCACAGTAGTAAAAATACCATTGATAGTTGAAAACAGTGTTACCAAGCGCACATATGTTGTCAATAATTCTTCCTCAGGCTTGTACAGTTAAATGCAAAAGAAAAGATCAAAAAGGTTGACACAAAACAAAGACCGCTAAGACACTCAGTTTACAACCACTGATCACTGGCAAACACTGCCCCACTAGTTCACAGCTGTAGCAAGTGCACAGTTCCTTGGTTCACACTGTGTCAGTCTGTCTGAGCCACGTCCTGCACAGCGTGTGAGTGAATCTTTTCTGGACACAAAATTCCGGCTCGTCTGATCGTTAAACTCCCAGCCGACTCAAATAATCACTTCCGAACGTAATTTCATCGATTAGCAGTGGTCGGCAAATGACCTTGAACGACTCAACCACCTTGCGGGAATGGTCTGTATCGACTAAATGCAAGGCTGTGGATGCGTTGGTAAGCTTTCGGTACCCAGTCTCAAACCAGGCCTGATGGTGTTCTCTAACCCTGTCACACAGGCGCCTCGTATTGCGGCCATTTTGACCTGCTCCATAGAAACGAGGGAAACAGTAAACGCACACGGATTTGGCGTGGACAGGTTTTTTGGGCAGTTTTCACCATCAGCCTATCGGTGAATTGAATATGCATTTTGCTGCTTTGAAGGTGTGTCTGAGAGCGTGAGAAAGAAGACGAGTTAGATGTCCGGCAACACTTTCAACTTTGTACGCCTTTTGTAGAAAAATGGGTTTCTTTTCCGCTGTAAGTGTTACAGGAACTTTCATCCCTCGCTCCATGTTGGCTTTAATGTAACTAACGTCAAACGTGTGTGCTGCCGTTTCTCAGGCCGTGTCTTTCGAACAAATTCTTTCCGCTCGACCCATTAAACGGGAAGTCAAGTTCCGTGTTGATTGGTGGAACAAAACTGTAGAAATTCGTGTACTGCGTTTTCCAAGTACGCTTCCTATACACATGACGCTATAGCGCACCACCATCGACTAGCTTCATGGCCACATCGAGGAAGTGGAAAGAGTTATCTTCTTCCACTTTAAATGGAAATTTTAGCACCGTGTGAGCCTGATTAAATGTGTTAGTGAGGTCCTCGAGGTTACAGGGGGTATGGAGCAATATAAAAATCTCATCGACGTAACGGCAGTAAAGGTTGAGATTCTTGATGATCGATCTTAACTTGCTTTGCTCTATCAAATCCATAAACAGGTCCGTGCGAAACGGCCCCAGTGGGGAGCCCATAGCAACTCCATCGTGTTATCGGTATTGCACTCAGTTGAACAGAAACTGGATGTTGAATATTGCATCGGAGCAGCAGTTCCTTTGGACTAACTGTGGGAATGCCAGCAGCTATTTTATTCTGATCAATGTACTCATGAATGTAAGTTATAGTTTCAAACAGTGGCACTTTATTGGAAACTGAAATGACGTCGAGAGAACACATGATTGGATCCGTAACATTTCGGTCTCACGCACATCTACAAACGCAAACTGTCTTCCAGGCTGCATACAGCAACCTGCTTCGGATGGGCTCCGGAATCTCAACGGGTCACCATGCAGTGGAGTGGTACGGTGTGTTCTTCATATCTACAATTGGTCACAGAGAAACATTAGGATTATGCTTTCTAGGCAGACCGTATAGCCTTAGAATCGCGGTGTCTGTGGTCGGTAGATTTTTATAGCCACCTTCACTAATTTAGCCACCGTCACGGGACGTTTAGCTTTGTCATTCTCGTCCAAGGCCTTCGAAAACTTGGTGTCATCTGCCAATACTTCATGGGTTTTAGAAGATAGTCTACTTTGTTCAGAACATCTATTCCCGCCCCGTTATCGGGTCGAGTGAGCAAAACATTTTCATTCCTGACTTGAATGTTGAGCTCCTGATTATGTTCCTGCCGCACCGGGGTCTTATGCGTTATTCGAGCTCTGCGATATTGATACCAAGCGTGCACAAGCAGCGACTCAAACTCTTCTACTTGCGAATCAGATGACGGAGGCAACTGTGAAGTCTGCCTGTACAGATTTTCGAATTGGGCATACATTGCTAATCTACTGTCCCTTCTGGCACGGAGACTGAACTCAGGGCCCAACGATAAGACCTTCATTGTGGTTTGTTAAAGTGGCAGGCAAGATAAAGTGCACAGCCTGTAGCGTAACCTATACAGTATTCCTATCAGACGGACTCTTCCATGTGCTTGAATTGAAGACCGAACAACTCAAGTGCCTGGTACTTGAAAGGTGACGCCAAATATAGGGTAGGAACCACGACGGCCAGTGCCCTACGAGCGCAGCGCATTTACTACACTCTGCACGCATCAGCACGAAGATGAATATTAAACATTCTTATCCGTTCATAGTAAAGACAGGGGCTGCTTCTTGGATAAGAGTCGGAATATTCACTTGTAAAGATCCATTTCACACAAAAGCATTCTTATTGAAAAGTGAACACCATTGGTTTGTGCGCTGCATACTTCAGCTTTCAACCGCTCTTCTGTCAATTTTTTCCAAGGTCATGGAATCGACCGTTCCCAAAATTTTGGCAACCATTTTGAAAAACCCCTATTTTACTACTTCTGAACAACACAGTTTCCGTCGAAAGTAATCACGTCTAACGAATCTGCTAATAGCACCGGATAGTTTGGCTGTCAACCAATGGTGGACAGAGTGTTGATGTAACCTATCGGGCTTCCCAACAAGTATTCAACTATCCATAAATTCAGACCTTTCTCGGTGCCTCAGTTTTACGGAATCGTATCCACTTGTAGTTGGGCGGTAATCGCCGGTTAGAGTTTATATTCGTTCGTTTGAATATACGAAGG